TCATTGTTCTCCACACAGTTCTGGAGTCTGAAAGGCTATTTCCTAGGAATCATCAGGTTTGGGTTCTTTGGAACCCTCTCTCCTTGGTTGGCTGACAGATGGCTGCCTTCCTCCTGCCCCCATATACTCTTTAGTAAGTCCCTGACTGATAAATGAATTCCATCCTGGGAGAATATTGGCAAGTCAGATTTTTTCCTAAGTCTGACAAAGTAAGCCTTATATATTATGCCTGCAAAAGTTTGCAACTCAAATGGTCAGAAGTCAGGGACTTATTTATTGTACTCTGTGTTTCCCTGACACCTCTCTGAGTCTAAATTTTCTTTCCTTGTAAGGACACCATTCAGATTGGATTATAGCTATCTCTAACAGCCTAATTTTAACTTAATAAGGTCCTATGTCCAAATATGACCACATTAGTAAATACTTGGATTAGGACTACAGCACATGATTGGAGGACATAAAAGTATTTTCTGTAGAACAACTCTGTGAATTATCCACAATAATCGACCCAATGCATAGTGAGTTCCTATCTCCCAAAATCTGTCTTATTGGCAGAATAAGCAGCTGAAATTCTTGAGTGAATATCTGACTACTTTACAAAACCTCAGCTAGTGAAGAGGGTACCATAGAGAAGAACTGTCACAGAACACACATTTTGTCTGAAAATAGGGAAGTGTTCAGATAGGTGACTCCAGGTAATCTTGGCTGTTCTCAGCCTATGGGAAGAAATTTGGGAAAGACCTGGCTTTAGTCTTGAACAATTTCATCTATAGGCAACAGCAAAAACTTGAATCCTTTTCTATCACATATGGATCCTTGTTCAATTGTTCTGGAACAGATAATTCCTAATGGGTTACTTACACTTCTCTGTGTTCTGCAAGCAAAGCTTACGTTTTATTTTTTTAAGGTTGTTTGTATCGTAAAGAGGCTTGGAAGATAGTGATGGGGTCTTCCTGTGGAACCAACAGTAGTTTAATTTGCTGGGCACTAAACAAAGATAACATCTCCTTCTGGGGCAAAGCTTGGGGATATTTGCTTGATTTGTTTGTAATCCATTATAAAATACTGGGTCATCCTAAGCTGGGATTTCCAGTTGTGACATAGCCCACTGTCTGTGCACATTCCTCCTGGGCAGTTCCCTACTGTCTTCTTGGTATTTGGGGATAAGTGACATTGATACAAGCATAAACTCATGATCCTGGCTCAGAAGTCTTACTCATATTGTCTGCCAGGGTTCATGCCAGCTAACTTACTGGCTTGAAAATAGAGTAAAATCATAAGCCCTTTACAATTTTGATAGGCATCAGCATTTTGGAAAGCCACCAGGTGGTTCTAGCAAGTAACTCTGACTGAGAATCACAGTCTTCCAAGAGTATCTACTGTCAGGCTTCCGTTAGCCTTCTATCTTGATCTTTCTTTCACTGTCTTGACTAATCTTTACTGTAGTTTTTACCTTAGACTCCAATTTTTATTTCTTTGCCCCTGGGGCTGTTCCCAAGTCTGTCTTACCTGGCTGTCCCTGCTTCCTTTTAGCCCCATGCTCTAAAGTCATGGGCTGCCCTTGTCCTACCCTTCTCAACACTACAGGACAGTGTCTCCAGCTTCCTTCTGACCCCTGAGGATGACAGAAGCACCAGATGCTGAGGATCAAGATTCTGGACAATGGCCAGTTAAGCCATTTATCATCTTGTAAAAGGCAAATAACACAAGATGCTGGACAATAGGGGGTCAGGAGCCAGGGCAAGGAGCCTGAGCAGAAAGAAATCAGGATCTTGGTAAGGAGGGAAAAAGAGAGCATTTTACTAAACTCAAAATTGTATGAATCCCACAAATCTTATGTCTTCCATTGGTGAAACACAAAAATAAAGATATCTGCATTCCTATAAGCAGGGTATCTCATTGGCATCACAATCTTTCAGTTATACTTATACTCAGATATCTTTCCCAATTTATTTTTACTTATCTTGCTATTCCTATCTCTATATACTGCTTTATATTTATTCATAAACATGAGCATCTGGTGTTCTATGAACTTGATAGTCAACAAAGATATAGTGTAATAAGCATCATCCCAGGCCTTGCACAGTGCCCAGCTAATTGACCAAAATAGACTTAAAAATGGAGAAATGATAATGGATTATAGTAGTGCAATACTAGTAATGTGACATCGCTAGCCATTCGTGAAATGCAAATTAAAACTACATTGAGATATCATCTCACCCCAG